CACACACACACACACACACACACACACACACACACACACACACATACACATACACATACACATACACATACACACACACACACACAATTTCACTACTTCAACATCTATATATGATATAAATATAACTCAGTCAGCCAGTGACAAATACAATCAAATGAAGTCCAACTGTGATCTGGGAACTCTTCCCTGCTGTTTTTTCAATTCCCATCCCCAAAGGTACCATTACTTAAAAATGACCTGTATTCTATTTGTGTACTTTAAACCCTGCCTTTGAATTTCACTACTTCAACATCTATATATGATATAAATATAACTCAGTCAGCCAGTGACAAATACAATCAAATGAAGTCCAACTGTGATCTGGGAACTCTTCCCTGCTGTTTTTTCAATTCCCATCCCCAAAGGTACCATTACTTAAAAATGACCTGTATTCTATTTGTGTACTTTAAACCCTGCCTTTGATAAATCACTCGTGACGGCACGTTATAGTTGAAGACCTTTGGACACTTCAGATCCTTTGGACAGATAAGAAAATATGAATTCCTTCTATCTTACTTTTATGCATTCAATGAGACATAACGTTGTATTCTTTAAACTAAGGATTCATTCGCAACTATTCACTGTTCAATGTAGCCAAATAAATCCTTCATTTTTAATTAATTTGTCATGACTAGCTTTTTTTTAAGTAGCAATTGCATATGTTCTTTCATATGCTACAGGGGTGGGCCAGTGGTTAGCACGTTGACCTCACACTGCAGAGGTGCAGGGTTTGATACCGGCTCCAGCCTTCCTATGTGGAGTTTCCATGTTCTCCCCGTGCCTCAGTGGGTTTTCTCCGGGTACTCCGGTTTCCTCACACATTCCAAAAACACGCATGGCAAATTGATTGGGCACTCCAAATTGTGTGCCCCGCCTACTGCCCAAAGACAGTTGAGATAGGTTTCAGCACCCCACACGACCCTTGTGAGGATAAAGCGGATCGGAAAATGGATGGATGGATGCTACTGGGGGCGGCATGGCCCAGAGGTAGTGTGGTTTTGGTTGCGACCATGTCGAAGGGGTCCTTAAGCAAGATACCGAACCCGCAGTTGCTCCTGATGCTGCATCATCAGTAGCTCAATGAGGTAACAGTGTAGAGTACCAAAGGTAGAAAAGCGTATACAAGTGACAGTCCAGTTACCATTTAGGTATGTTCTGACCAGAAACCTTTCCCACATCACGTTTACTTGGTTCGATCTATTTAATCAAGTAAGGGCTGTGTTGAGTTATATAATGTGAATACATCTAAAGAACACTTGTGAAGATATCTGTATGGGCTCCATTAATAACACAGTACATGATAGTTAGAAATGCCACAGTCCCCGGTGGGTCGGGAACAAAATGAGCACCGAGCAACAACCTCTGGTGCTCCTTTGACAACCAGATCAAAATTGTGAATTACATTCCTGAATATGCCTCCTTTAATCTGTTTAAATGCTAACAAGCCAAGTTTTCTTCCACGTTCGTCTTGTTTTACCTGTGAATATTGAGACTCATGGTGTACAACGCCAACCATAAACCTTGAAGACGCTTCATATCCCCCACAATGTGGACTCTTCCTTCCTCCGAAGTCCTTTTTAAAACAGCCTCAGCCAGTATCTCCATCTGTTGTAGCTGGATCTTCTTCTCCGGAAACTCTCCAAGTGCTCTCTAGGGATAGTCAATAGCAAATCAAAAGAAAAAGAAGAAACCTAAACACTCAATATCAGCTCAACTATCATTATGCAGAAGGTTTTGAAAACCAAATTTGTATCAGCAGAGCCATAAGTGGATTTTTCAACAATATTCAAATCAAATGAGATCCAACAGAAGATTTCTATCAAACATTGTCTTTTTATGTACATGTAACCAAAAGGAGACTTTCGTAACAATATATGTCACACTGAATTGCTCACGATCCATATTTTGAGTGGTGTAGTAACTAGATCAACTTGTATCTGAGAACGTAAACAAACATAACTAAAATACATAAATAGAAGGATTGTGACAATATTAACAAAAGGAGTAAGCATGAAGACTCAGACCTGTGCCTCATCCTCGCGACTTTCTAAGCTCCACTCTCCAGTAGGGATCTTGAAGGACTCCAGCTTCTGCTTCATGACAATACACCATTTCTCTATGTTTAGGAAATTGTCATGGAAATGTGCATGATCTACAATACTCTTCTCACTCTCGTGCAGATTGACCTGCAAACAACAATAGCAAAAACACTACCAGTGTCATTTCTTAAAATGCATTCATAACCTTGTACATTTCAGAATTTCCAGGGTTTTTCCAGCATATCAAATGTCAAGGCTACTGCTGACAGCTCGAAAACCGAGGACACCAAGATACCCGTTATTATCTGACAAGCGTTGCACTCACGACAGAGTTGGGTTTTATTTTTAACTGCAATGGATTACTGTATATGCACATCAGCTCATGATGTATTTCGAGTGGAAACATTAGCGGTGCAGCAGGTAAAAACTTTGCGACACATGCATGGTATTTGGTAGGATTGTTCCTTCAATATCACTTTTTCAGAAAAAAGTGGGAGCCACAGAAAAAGACAAAAAAATATCAATGTGGCGGTCTTTTTTCAAGATGGCTGCCATATGAGCATCTGTTGTGGCATTGTGCTCAGAAACTGGTGAAAATTGATGGGTGTTGTTTGCAGGTCACCTTCTCAGAAAAAAATGCTTCCAAAAACATTCAAAGAAAAAAACAGAACAACAAATAAGGCATATAATAAAATCAAAAAATGAGACAGTGGCACGGTGGTTGGCTGGTTAGCACAACGGTGCAGGGGTGCGGGGTTGAATTCCTGCTCCAGCCTTCCTGTGTGGCGTTTGCATATTTTCTCCGTGCCTGAATGTGAACATGCACACGCACACACATACTCAGAGCACACACAGACATACAACCATTCATACTCACACTCACACCAAGGTCAATTTAGAATGGTCAATCAGCTTGCCATGCATGTTTTTGGAATGTGGGAGGAAACCGGAGTATCCGGAGAATACCCATGCAGGCACGGGGAGACATGCAAACTCAACAGAGGAAGGCCGCAGCCGGAATTGAACCCCGCACCTCTGCACTGTGAGGCGGACGTGATAACCAGTCAACTACCGTGCCGCCCAAAATGATAAGATTATATAGAATTGTATTTTGATGGCATCAACCTCATACTATTGGAGCATATCACATCTTTCTGTCTACACTGCAGACAATGGCAGCAAGCTATCAGATACCTATTGGATTTTGAGGAAGCTGAGCTCATTATATCCTACCTCAACTGTCTTCTTAAGGTATTTCCAGTCAGTAAACAATTGTTCAAACTGAGTCTGGTTGCTCTGACAGCCTGATATGAGATTTTCAAGAGCTTTGATGGGGGCTTCACAGTCTTCCAGGTCCTTTTGAATCACCTGAGAAAAAGACACAGTGTGACAGTTATTTTTATCTTTCGTGTAGGTTTTCATAAATGTTGTACGTAACTATTTTCCACGTTCATTTAAAATAAAATAATCCAGTGTTGCATTGAAAAAAATACCGGTATTATCCAGAGGTATTTATTGGTTAATACACCTATTCTGTAAAATGTGCATCTTAAAATTTGAGGGCAGACCATAAAACATAACTTGTGATAATGCTTCTACAGTGGTACCTCTACTTCTGAAATTAATTGGTTATGGAAGAAATTTCGAAACTTAAAAATTTTGAAAGTAGAGACGCGTTTTCCATGTAAATGCCTGAATCCGTTCCAAGCCCCCCCCCTCCCAAATTCATACAAAAATGTTTCCTAAAGCATACAAATGCATCAAAACATGTAACAAACAAATGTAACAAATTAGATTATTGCACAATAAATGAGAGTTGTGCATAATGTAAAAACCAAAGGATGGAGTAAAGAATAAAAATGATGGTCATTTAACTTTTAACACACCTCATCGTTTTTTTGCCCTCTTTCGTTCATGTTCTCTCTCAGAAGTGGTTTTTGCCTGGCATTTTGTAAATAACTGATCCAAGGACGTTTGATTTTGTCGGCTTTTAACAATCCTTTGAAAATGTCCAAGGCAAACATCAGCATAGTGAGCAATCGCCCGACTGGTGAACAATTTTTCTGGGTGGTTCACATTTACGTGAAACCATCGGAACGCCTCGTAGCCCGAGGGGCGAATCACAAGGATGCTGCAGAAACACATTCTATCTCCACACATAGACACATACGGTGGAGGTCCCTCTTGGCCAATGGGATGCCAGGAAGATGCTCGGTCGTAGCCAATGGCAGAGCAGCTATAAGTATGTTGCGTTCAGGAAACTCGGGGCTGCGAGTAGCAGCCCAGACTGCACTTTCACCTTTCGTACCTTGAAAGTTCTTTCGTAACAAGAGAAAATATTTTCCTGTTGAGGCATTTCGTAACTTGCTGGCAACATTGTACGCTGTCCATAGAGACATTTCTCGTCCATTGTACTGTATTTCAACGACTCATGAGTTTATTTAATTGTCCATAAACACCTTTTCTTGGTGGAAACCTGACACTACAGTGAGCGAGATTTTCCATGTTAGGGTGGCATTTCTCATCAGGTGTCACCACAGTGATTCTATATTTAGCGTTCCACCGTGATTATATATTTAGCATTCATAACTGGGATTTATACCTGCATCAAAGGTCCACCGCACTCAATAAAATATCCGCTAGAAATCCCAAGTAATTTTTTGCAAAATTCCTTTATTTTGCATGAGAATGGGTGGACAGGATAAAGCCGAGGTTAATCTTTATAACAGGAAATCTTTGGCATAAACTCTCACGACTAACTTTAATATACAGTGAAACTCCTCTACAACGAAATCATGTTTGCAGCAAGAAATTTTTCACAACAGGGGGCTTTTCACTGTAGCAAATTTTATATCAGATATAAACAACACACGCACACGCACGCACACACACACACACACACACACACACACGACACGTGTGTACTCTTTATTTTTATTCCAACACGTAGTGCATAAATATGAGCATACACTTATTTGACACTTCATAGAACCAGTGTAGAAAGAAAAAAAAAAGGAAAGAAATTTCTTGCATAATGTCTTTTACTTTGCTTCCTCCATCTTTCATTTCCATTACTTTTATCCTGTCTCCAAGCGTGAATGCTTTTCTTTTCTTAACTCCTTGGTCTGCAAAGGTCCGTTTCGTAGTCATTTTAGCAATGCAAGGTTCGTGCTGTGTCTGAAACAAATACTTCCTGTACTACTGCGCATGTGTAAACCAGTGTGGTGGTTGCTGTTGCCGTTTCCGAACGAAGCAGTAGAGGTCGCTGTGGCATGCTGAGGTTGGATTAGACTTTTGCGGAAGGCTTGTTTTTCTTGTAGTGAATCTCGTTGCGAGGCAAGAGCAGAGAAAAAGATTCCGTATAACGGAACTGGTGGACCTTTCGTCGTAGGGGAGCAGAAAAGTGGGAATGCCTTTCAGGCATGAACATTTTTTCAGGGTATTTTCGCCCATGTAGGTTTCGTTGTAGAGGAGTTTCACTGTATTCCATTTATTGTCGTATTAACTCAAGATGACAGCTTTAAATATTCACAGCTGAAATAAGAATTTGATACCATCTATAATGAAAAAAATATTGCCGACAATTTAACTCACCCTGAATTGGTCGGCTTGACTTTTCTTAGCCAGGATGTCAGGCAGAAGCCCTTTAGTTGCAGTCATTGCATCTCTGAGACTTGTCAGCTTGGAGCGAACCAAAATGTAGGCCTCTCCAAAGTCCTTTGTTCTTGAAATTAAGCCCTGAAAAAGTAAAAGTCCACTTCAGTTAGTATACTAATTTTGCAAACCACAATTCCAACAAAGTTGGAAAGCTGTATAAAATGTAAATAAAAAGATCACAATGATTTACAAATCGTTCTCTTATCATCAATTGAATACACTTAAAACACTAGATGTTTAATACCTGGAATGGTGAACAATATTGTTTTTTTGAAAAAAAAAAAAAAAGAAATCGAGATAAATAATTTTAGGACAAAATTTAATTCAGATTTTTTCTGACAGATATTGCGATTTGATTCGATTTAGTGCAATAGTCATTATGTACAGTAAGATTTAAAATGTAAACTATTTGTAAAAATATTTCAAATATACAAAAAAAACCTTTGCACAAATGTACATGTTCATTGGAGATAACTATAAGATAGGTGGCAAATTGTTTTTTCATATTTTTGTTATAGATTAACTTGTTTCAGACGGAGACTGAGAGCTGAGCGATGTGGTCTAAAATTCGTATCTTGGTATACAGTGATCCCTCACTTATCGCGATTATGCGATGGGGACAGGGACCCGGCCGCGATCAGCGAAAAACCGCGAAGGAGGGTTTGCATCCCCACTAGAAATTTTATGTGGGTAAGTGTATGTGGATACAAGCATGTTTAAAATATGTAAACAGTGATTATACTTGACATATTTGATACAAAGACGACAGCAATACATGTATTTACTCTTTAATTATAAAACCTTATAGAGTAATTAATATTCATCAGCACTGCCTTCTGAGAGAGGCAGACTTGTGTTGGTGGAGGCGGCTGTCACTTTACGTTCTGATGGTGTAGCCACCGTTAGCCTTCAGCTAGCTCCTGGCCATGTATCCCTGCGCAGCGGATGTGTTTATGATAAGACAATTAATCGGTATTGATGAGACGAAGAGAGATGTGTGTTTCACGTGCTGCTGCCTTTGGACAAGCCCAAGCCCAAAAAGCCCAAGCCCAAAAAGCCCAATGCTATTAAGTTAATAAAACTTTATCGGTCGCCTGGAGGTTGGGCTCGCTGGCAAGCACCTGATGGCCGGGCCTGCACCCATGGGGCCCGGCCGCGCTCAGCCCGAAAGGGTAATGTGGGTACCCCTCCCCATGGGCTTACCACCTGTGGAAGGGGCCAAAGGGGTCAGGTGCCCTGTGAGCTGAGCAGTGGCAAAAGGCAGGGACCTTGGCGGTCCGATCCCCGGCTACAGAAATAAGCTGTAGGCAAATTAAATGACCTCTCTGACAGGAGGAGCCTGAGCTGGTGTGCAAGGCAGAGGAGTTCCAACTAGATATAGTCGGGCTTGCCTCGACGCACAGCTTGGGCTCTGGTACCAGTATCCTCAAGAGGGGTTATAGTTATTGATACAGACAGTATTGAGACTTAATTATGGTTAAAATGACCTGAGTGCAAAGACAAAAGTAACACAGTGGGACTGATTTTATTCGTGTCACAAATCTCTAGTCAATGATTTGTTCTAGTTTGATATTTAGGTGGTTTGAATTTTTTTGTAACAAACCGACAAGTCACTTTGCCATCATGTGCTTGTCTGTTGCTGGTCACCATGGTCAAAAGATGGTCAAAGAGTTAGTGTGAATGCTCAGATGCATGTAAATTAATAGAAAACCTTGAAATCCAATGAATAGAACAAAATAAATAAAACTATTCACATTAGGTATAAGTTGTGGAATGTAAATCATACTGCGTTGCCCAAGGAAGGGAGACAAATATTTTTTGCGCCGTTTACCAAAAAAAAGAAAAAAGGTGGATGATTGCTATCAAAACGTAGTTTGAATTTAATTTCAATTATAAATTAAAAATATTTTTAAAAATTAGTCTTGAGGTGAGTTGATTATCCAAATTATAAAGTGCTTAGTTTAAGTTAAATAGGAAAGGCCATAGGCCTCCACACGATGGCGCTGTTGGCATTGTGCGGGAAAAGTTACAGAACAGTAAATAGCACTGCAGTTGATAATCATTTGCTTTATTGAGCGACTAAATATATTGGGATAATCATTCAGCAGATTAAACCAATACCTACAAAGACAGTATTAAACATGGGCACGTTCAGTGGTGACTGACACATTTTGTTTTCTGTTTAATTTCCGAAGCATTTGTTTGGAAACACAAGCGAAAGGAATCATTGTGTTGTGTTGTCGCTATGTGGTAATTTGGCTATTGGCAAACAATAGTCTTTGAGTTTTGACCAGATGATAGCGCAATAGCACAAGGTTTCAAACACAATTTACTGCACAAGCGGCCGTTTCTATTACCAAAGCAGCTAGTCACAAACTGAGCACACACACGCACGTGTACACACACTAAATTTCGAAACCCAAACTAAAAATGTATTTCGTCCCTGGGAACCAAATGTGTATTTATTGCTGTAACATTGAAATATACATATAATTTATTGGCACAGAACAAAATAGACATTAATATAGTGAAAAAGCCGTTAACATCAAGCTTAACATTCAATAAAACAGCTTGCAGCATTTTCAGAGATGAAAGTGGACTTTTCTGAAAATTCCGGAAAAAAATAAATAAATAAATGTGTGTGTGTTGTGTGTGTGTGTGTGTGTGTGTGTGTGTGTGTACACACACGCACACCCACACACACACACACACACACACGC